CTACACAACATGTCTACACAACATGTCTACACACCACATGTCTACACACAACATGTCTACACAACATGTCTACACACAACATGTCTACACAACATGTCTACACACCACATGTTTACACCACATGATGAACACGTGATCAGACCTCAGGTCGGACGTTGACACCAGGTCCCTCTGAGTCGTGAGAGGATCAGAGGATGTGGTTTATCTCCAGGAGCTGACTTGTGTTTGTTTTTGCTCCTCCTCCTCTCCTCCCCTCTCGTGTCCCTGCAGGCGCACAAAAACTGCCAGAACATGACAGAGATCGAAGCCAAGGTCAGCTACGTGAAGCTGGCCAGGTCTCTGAAGACGTACGGAGTGTCCTTCTTTCTGGTCAAGGTGAGGAGACGCCTCTCTCTCTGGGACACAGAACAGAGGGTTGATGGGATGTTGAGGTTGTAAATGGAACTTTTGTCACATTTAAAACTTCGTCTCTGTGCCACAGAGGACCTACTGATTTGCTCTGACGACCACAACACAACACAACACAACACAACACAACACAACACTAACTCCAAACACTGACATGCGGACCAGAGGAGCCGGGAATCAAACCATTGACATCTTCCTGCTGCACCACAGCCACTTGACACTAAATCATTTTATATTTAAATTCTCGTCATGTACGAAATGGAGCTGAAATATGGCGGATATGAAGGCTGCCATCTTGTGCTCATGAGTGCAGCGTAGTGCGTGTTCTCGACCGATCAGGAGTCAGTCTCAGCTGTCAATCATGACGTCTCTGTTTTAACTAATTAAACCAAACTGATCAGAAACATTTGGACAAACATCAGAGAGAAGAACGAGCTGAAACGACAGAAACATCTTCGACAAACTTTATTTAACTACTTTGAGTTTTTAGTTTGGTTCACGTCCCATCTGCTAACATGGAGGAGGAGGTTAATGAGCTGTACTGCAGCCGGACACCAGGCGGCGATCATATCGTCCATCTTTATTTACAGTCTGTGGACAGACAGAATGAACCTGAGAGCTGCAGACGCTTCAACAACTGTGATTTAATGTCCTGCAGGAGAAAATGAAGGGAAAGAACAAACTGGTCCCTCGTCTGCTGGGAATCACCAAGGAGTGTGTGATGAGGGTGGACGAGAAGACGAAGGAGGTGATCCAGGAGTGGAACCTGACCAACATCAAACGCTGGGCTGCTTCGCCCAAGAGCTTCACCCTGGTGAGTTCTTCACAGGAAGAGACGGAACAGGTCATTGACCCTGAGCTGCTGCTCCGAGGGCGAGAAGGACTGAGACCTGTGAGAAGCCCAGAGGCTGCAGGAGGTGGCTTCTCGTGAGGATGTGATCTGTGATGTCTGTGGCTGTCCCGTTAACGGGACAATCTAGCGGCCGCGCTGTGAAACAGATGCATGCAGCCTCTTAACAGAACCAGCTAAACAGAGAATGCTGCTCAAACTCCTTCAGGATTCAGGACGTGTGTGTGTGACTTCCATCTTGTGCTTCCAGGACTTTGGAGATTATCAGGACGGTTACTACTCAGTGCAGACGACTGAGGGAGAGCAGATCGCTCAGCTCATCGCTGGATACATCGACATCATCCTCAAGAAGGTAACGTCAGTTTAATGATTAGGTTCCCCGAGGTTCAGTGTCCTTGTCCTCAAACCCTGGAGTCTGTGTGGACTTCTTATCTTTACTCCTCAGTCACATGTTTATCAGATCGAATAATTAACGTCCAGGCTTCATTTGTTTATCGACCACTTTTCTGCTTTTTCACAGAAAAAGAGCAAAGATCATTTTGGTCTGGAAGGAGATGAAGAGTCAACGATGCTGGAAGACTCTGTGTCACCCAAAAAGTAAGTGTGTGTGTGTGTGTGTGTGTGTGTGTGTGTGTGTGTGTGTGTGTGTGTGTTTAGCAGTACAAGTCGTGGTAGTTTTCAGGAGTTTTAGGATATATACTTCTCTCACGTTTCCTCTCTCCAGGTCGACGGTGCTGCAGCAGCAGTTCAACAAGGTGGGGAAGGTGGAGACGGGCTCGGTGGCGCTGCCGGCCATCATGCGCTCCGGAGCTGGAGGACCAGAGAGCTTCCAGATGGGCTCCATGCCTCAGGCCAAGCAGCACATCACCAGTGGACAGATGCACCGAGGACACATGCCTCCGCTGGTAAAACACGTCGATCCTGAGAGATTCTGAAAAGAGGTTTTACTGTAACGCAGTGTGTCGACAGTATTTCCTGTGTTTCCTCAGACTTCAGCTCAACAAGCTCTGACTGGAACCATTAACTCCAGCATGCAGGCGGTCCAGGCTGCTCAGGCCTCTCTGGACGACTTCGACACGCTGCCGCCGCTGGGAACCGACGCCGTGAGATTGAACTCCTCCGTTCTTGATCTGTGTGCTGATGTGTTGTTCTGAGCGTTGACTGGTTCCTTCTGCATCTCGTGACCCGAGGATTTTTTATTTGTCCTTGTTTCAGGCGTCCCAAGCCTGGCGCAAAAACAAGATGGATGAGTCCAAACATGAGATCCACTCCCAGGTGGACGCCATCACAGCAGGCACCGCCTCCATGGTCAACCTCACTGCAGGTAGAATCAGCGGACATGTTTGTTCACATCGAGTCTGTCTGGGCCACAAATTCACTTTTAAATGAACCTGTCGTCAGGTGACCCAGCAGAGACGGACTACACGGCCGTGGGTTGTGCTGTTACCACCATCTCCTCCAACCTGACGGAGATGTCCAAGGGTGTGAAACTGCTGGCGGCGCTCATGGAGGACGAAGGAGCGAACGGCCAGCAGCTGCTGGGGGCTGCTAAGAACCTGGCGTGTGCCGTCTCCGACATGCTGAAGACCGCTCAGCCGGCAAACACAGAGGTCAGTGCAGAGCCAGGCTGAGATGTACAGATGTGGAGATATACAGATGTGGAGATATACAGATGTGGAGATATACAGATGTGTAGATATACAGAT